GATAGCTGACACGTGAATGTCAATATGGTAGGACACGTTTGTAGGGCCGGATGATTTTTAAATCAAAAGCAACTGCCGACTTGAATCGCACCGCGTAAACACAACTTAAATAGACGAGGAGCCGCGCGTGAGGTTTGAGAGCTAACACCACACATGTCACGGAACTGTTTACTCTATGAAAAAGGAACTGGTTTTTTGTTTCTCCTTAAAATCGTTTAGGAAAAATCAGTGCAACCATTAAAATGACGGCACTAGATTTGCGCAAAACAATTGACTACTAATAATAAGGTTTTATTCGAAGTATTTTTTAATCCTGGTGATCTACATCTACAGATTAAATCAATCAGCTCATGTTAATCATATTTTGTGCTTAACTATTACACATAATACACAATTAATTACATGTATAGAAATATTATATAACTGAAAAGCAAATTAATTAGAAAATTATTAAACAGCACACGTGTTGTGCCCAAATTTAATTTCAAAGCTTGCATGGAGTAAATGCATGAAATGCGGACAGGATTCGGTAGTGCGGGCTAGGTGGGGTGCGGGCGGGCAGCCGTGCGGTGTCCCGGTTACATTATTTACTGCACTTTAGGAGCTAAAGCGAAAAGCAATAATTCGTTTATTGGACACGGTTACCTAGCAAGTGTACTTCGACGCTCGTTATAACGGCAGAAGCGCTAGTAACTACAACACTATGTTTTGCCAATGTTTTAAATAAAAATATAAAAATTCTGGCGAATAAGTTATAAATGTCATAGGGAAAACAGAACGATGTGATCATTGAGCCCATTGTTTTTTGCATTTTAAACAGGTGTCCATGTAAAATTTCATGACGGGGATTACAGTTGGTAGCTGTCGCGCCCTAAAGTTACGGCTTTAATACAAAAATAAAGTTTAACGAGGACACGCAGCCTGCTGCAGCTTCCCAATGCTGAGCTCGATTTATTGCTCGGTAAACATCATTTATTTACAATACTTTTTTCGAATAATGAAACACCTTTTATTTTCAACAACTATTTTTTTGAAGCGCCTAGATGATTCAAATAGCAATTTTTATTATAAGATTTTATTGCTAGTAAGATTGAATGAAATTTTAATTTATGGATGTTTTATCACGCAGTTGAATATTAAAAATACAAAACCGACTTCCAAACAAAATACACTAAAAACAACATATTCTCGAAAAAAAAAAACAGTACACTAAAAAGTAACGAAATAATTCATTGAAAATAGTAAACCTATTGTAGCTGTTATGTCTATATTGTACAATTATTATTACTTCGATGTCGGTGTCAGCCGAGGTATGCAGTGATATTTATAAGTAAGGCTTTCTACATTTTTACCATAACAATTGACAATTAAAAGTATAGTAACGTTTAAGTAATGAATCTACATTGACTGACACCGACTTCACAGCCTCCTCCTTTTTTTGGGAAGTTGGTCAACAAAAAATATGTAGTTACCTACTTGTTTTCAACTTAACTTGTAAATTAATATAAAATAGCATATGAAGTGACATCTTCGTACCTTAATTTTGTGAAACGGTGATAAGAATATAATCTGTTAATTTGTTTGAATGTTGGTAACAAGAGCGAGTAAAGGAGATTAAAAGGTGAGTGAAATTTGGCTTGATATTTGATTAAGATCAAACATAATTCCTAGAATACAAGATTATGATGTTTTATTATTTCTGAAAGATTGCGACATATTATTTAACCTTATTTGTGTAGACGAATATTGCATACACACACTACGTATTATTCCATATGGCTTTGATGTACATGGCGCATTGTGTCGATTGGTCTTTAGATCTCCATGTACTCTCATTTTTTAGAGATAAAATAATTACAATGGTAACTTATGTTAAACCTCATTAATCGTTGAGATACAGACTCATTTAAAGGACATTATGAGTCAAGTTTTAGTAAATATAGATAAAAAAATCATTATTTTTGGCTCCTGGTATTATAAATGAATATGTCATTATGATTTATTAATATAACTAATTAAAAATATACAATTTGCTTGTTTAAATTGGTTACTTCAAATGCGAACAGATAAGATTTGATCTGGAAAATTTTAGACAAAAGTAGATGAGAAAATAATATGATATATATTGAAGAAGTTAGATTTTTTGAAATCAGACGACGTTAAAAATTCAAATTAATAATATCGAAGTGTCTAATACTAAAGGATTTTTTTATGATTTCGCAATTTTGTTTTGTTTTAATAAAAGCTATCTGCTCTTTAAACTAAAACATCTTAAGCGGTCATACGAGTTTTGTTTACGATTGTTAAAAATCCACGACATCTTAAAAACAATAAGAAAACAGAATACAGTTTTGGAGTGTATTGAAAACATTGTCGCTGTTTTCAATACGACATATTTTAAGTAATAATTTCACAATATCAAATATAAAACTCTTTATGTTTCAGGAGTTAAGGATTATTTTTCTTTGTTGTTTCGCGAATAGTAGTCGAGTGGCTTTCATGGTTTTTGTAAAGTTATTGGTTAGGGCGATATTGTTTTCAACACTTATGACCCCTTTTAGTCTTAAAGCGCTATTGTGGACTATTTGTTACAAAATACATTATTTAAACATTTCGTTATTGATATTATAATCTTAAAACTAAATTCTATTACTCTTAATGAGAAAATGTCAAATTTTAGCATATTTTTTAATAGTTAGGTATCTATGAAAATGTTCACAGATAGTAAAAACGAATATTTATCGACATCAAATAATCTTTTCTTTTACCACATTACCGTTTATGAATTTGGTAGTCATAGCAAAAATTACTATGCTTCGTTCAGATTGAATAAGAAGATTTTATATAACGGCGCGAAATAATTATTAATTTTTGAACGATCAACATTAGACGTTCGAGCGTTGGGCTTCGGTTGTGTGCACGTATGAAATCAATTGGTGAATCTCTGTAAATCTTTGCAATCCGGTTCGATAGTGTTGTGCAGTGTTCACTAAAGATTGAAGGACTGTGTTTCTGATATTAGGCGATTGTTATTTCATTATCTCCGACATACGGACGCCCATAATGGAGAATTTACCGTGTCTGTCTACCTTCGGAATTTTGCAAGCCGCTCATCACTGCGACATATATTATTATTAGTACGTATTATAAATACTTACTGGCATAAAATGAAATATAATTCCAGGCAGGTAATTACTGGTGATCAAACAAGATCTGTGCACTTCTAGGACTTGCAGATTGCGTTCGAGTTTGCCTCTACAAATATTTCTGATGCCATATCATAATGTATTTATATCTCTTTCTATACTAATATTATAAAGAGGACGGATTTGTATTTTCGGATTTATGTATGTATTAAAAAAAAACTCAAAAACTATTAGGACAATTTAAAAAATCTATTACCGTTATAATTTATCTGTGAGTAGCATAGGCTACATTTTCATTATTTTTAAATTTCATGCGAACGAAGTCGCGAGTAACAACTTAGACAAGCTTACTAAAAAAAGTTATACGTACATAATTACATGAACATTTATATTTCATTGATGTTTGTTAATTTAAAAAGTTTTTATTGAACTAATTGTGACTAATTGCCTACACTTCTTAAAACATTTTTCAACTCAAATGTTTAAGTTTGTTTTTGTACTATTAATGCAATGGTGTTTTGTGCTCATGGATAACGTATTATACTTGTATATAAAGTTCGACTGTAACTTAATGTTATAAAACTGAATTTTGGTTAATTTTTCTTTTCAAACACAATATATTGTTTTAAGGTATGTGATGTCCAGCACCTTAAATTACAAGAATACACAAACAAATGCATTTCATCTTATTCATAAAACCACATTTTATGACCACATTAAAAGATTACAATGCGAATCTTTAAAAAAAGCTTTCGGCCAAGCGACGCGACTCAACGTCTTGCATCTGTGTAGCGAGAGCGAGTTGGCTAGATATCGCTACACAAACGACACTGCTCGCAGTTTCATTACCATCAAAAAGTTTAAAGATTTATTCATAATTTTTATAGGTATTAGTATAAGGGTACACCCCATACTAATACAACTTACTCTTAATATAACAAAGTTCCTACTTATGAAAAAGCTCTCTATATGTAACTTTTGATCAATTCACAATAAGTTTCATCGTTTAATGTTGCCATATTAAAG